GTAACAATGTAAGTATACCAGCTGCTGAGCTCCCTGCTCTCTGCTACATGAGTCTCACAGCCAACTAAAAATAACAATATCACCCAGAATGTACTTTACTGTTTATCATTATCAGTAGTTAATATTAACTGAGTACTGTAAAATGAGATAAAGGAAGGAATTTATAGCCACAAACATTGGTTTGACCACTGTAAATCCCAAGTAATTCCATTACAGTCAGTGGAGTTGCATCAGATTTACACACTTGTATAAGTGACAGGAGAATTTGGCCCACTGGTGTGAACAGATGGTGTTCAAGTTTCTCCATTACACAGCCATGGCAGTACTCCCTGGTGCTAACCTGTTATGTCTGTGCTGGGAATCCAAAGATCTCTGATAATGTACTTTAGGTATGACAAAAAACACTTCTCTTCTCTCTTGAAACCCAGTTCCGGGTCTCTCCCCAGCAGAGCTGGCCACTCCTGCCAAAGTGTTTTGTGCTTTTGTGATGTGGACCAAAAGAATCTAGGATGTGACCACCAAACTCATTTTCACCATTTGATCTGAGAAGATTTGAACTGTGGCAAAAGTTCAGGTTAATGCATTGACCCAGTAATATACTGAGCCTCCTTTCTCTTCCTCCCTTGAAATAGCCAGTCTCCATTTAATGGGGCAATCACTGGAACCAGGTGACCTACTGCATCTTATTACTGTAATTGTAATGTCCTATGTTCCTCAGGCTTTATGTCAACATAGCAGCTATTATTTGCATGCTATTTGGTAGGCACTGACAATATGCTCATCGCTATACAAGACAGACGAGGGCAGCCCTGCCCAAAGACACAGAAAAGTCAAGCCTGCACAGAGACAGAAAATTATAAGAAACCAGATTGAGATGTTGGCTGGGGTGGAGTCATGCATGAGCTTGAAGGTGATGCTTGATGGATTAGGCAACAGAGAAACACAGGCAGCTCTCAAATATCCCCCAGCAGGCCTGACTTGCAGACATAGGAGATTGGGTACCAGACAAAGGCCAGATTGGCGACTTGAAACCCTCAAAGGCCCAGCTCACTCTATGACATCCCTTTGTTGTAATGTATAAATTTTGTCTCTTTGTGAGATCACGCACAGCATTCCCTACATTATGCCTTTGTCACTGTTCAGAAAGTGACTTGGTCTGGCCAGCCTGTGGATTCACCTAACTCATACAAGCCACCTTACTGACTTTCTTCATTGTTGTTCTCTAGTGAATTTGGGGAATGCTGATTCATTAGCAGTCTGGGAGACTGAAGCCTTCTGTTTATCCACAGAACAGGTGCCACACTGCCAACTTCCTAGCTCACCTTCCCCTGCCAGGATCTCTCAATCCTGTTTTACAGAAGCTCTTTGGGATGGATGGACATTCTCCTTGGAGAATGCCTACAAGGGTAACAGTCATGATGACAGGGGTAATACAGACATGAACTTAGACCAACCTACTCATATCACATAGACCAACAACACATGATGTGAATGGGTAATAGCCCTCAGTCACTTCTAACTTTGTCAGGATTTGAACTGGTGACCTAAATGCGGAAAGCACTGCAATTCATCACTAATTCCCTCTGCCATTTGGTCCCCTAGGGCTTTGCATGCTTGAAAAAGTTGAAATAGTTTTTTCATTTGACCACACAAAATGATTGAACAGGTTCATGAATTTCCCTCAAAGGCTCAAATATTGATGATATTATCAGAAATCACAGACATCTGATATAGCCAAAAATCCCTTTGTGGAACCAGAGAGCATGCATGCACCTCTCAATTTGGGGAGGTCATAAGGACAACGGGGATTAGTTTGAGGCAGAACGGGCAGATGAATGTTTCACTGTTTCTCAACTACCCACAAATGGTGCCCTTCCTAAAAGCCTGTAAATGACTTGCTACTGACATGGTTGCAAACTGCTATGTCCAAAACTGTTCTGGCGACACTACAAAGTGAATACACAGCCCGAAGACAAACATTTTCTCCGAATCAGCAACAGTTGCTCAGTTCTGGATGGCTTCCAAACTTAACCTTCATTCAGTAGCAAAATAATGAAATACACTGACAGCAGCCAAGGAGCAGCAGCAAAAACAACAACAACAATTACTAAAAAGATAAAAGAGCCCAACCAGACAGAGGGAAAATCAAAAGAGTGAGGTATGATGTAGAACTGAATGGAAATACTATGCATATTCTGCTTTACATAAGGGTTCCAGCCACTTAGAATTCTCTCTTTTCAAGTGTGTTTTGCATGCTCTTTATTAATCATTTTATGTCTGTTAACATCAGATATGAATGGTTAGGGTTCAGGAATTAAAGAATCAGAGAAATTAAAGATGGAAAAGACCTATTTGATAAATCTCTCTCTCTCAACTGCTCATGACAATGATATGTGCGGATGATACTTGATATTGGGCAGTCAAAGTATGAAGGAGTCTCTAATGATCACTTGGGGTCCTTCAGTCAAGACTCTGTGTCTTTCTCATAGATATGCTATGATTCAACTATAAGTTACTGGGCTCAGTTCAGGAATCATGGGATGTAATTTTGTGACCTTTGTCATGCAGGAGGTCAAACTAAATGACCATAATAGACCCTTTTGAAATCAGATTTAGGGGTTTGACATGGTTGACCGTCTTGCATCCTGGTCTGGAGAGATACCACATAATGTGCTCGATATCGCATCTCCCTGAGGATTACTGGTGTTGAGTTCTGAGAGAGAAATGCATACCCTGAAGTCTGTGTTCATTCTTCCGTGAGGAGGCAGCCAACCGCTCTGTGAGGCGGTCAGTCTGCCAGCTGGCTGTAGAGGAGCAGTGGCATCAGCTGCAGCCTGTCCCCTCTGCTAGCTACATGAAATATCTGGTCTGAGAGGATTAGAAACTGGAGGAATAGGGAGCAAATTGCTGCAGGCAGCTGGGGTTGGGATAGGAGAGAATGCTAAGGTAACTATTATTTTTTTAACATTCTTCTCATCATCTCAAATTACCGACAATGATGAGGGTGGGGAATCGAGGAGACTAGAAGTTCAAATATAAAATCTGACTTTCAGGAAAGGCTATGGAAAATCATAACTCACATTAGCGGTGAGATTAAAGGATAAGATTAGATTCACGCTCCAGTCAAAAATGAAATCTCAGTCTTCACTTTTTGTGTCATGTGCACTGGGCCAGAGTTGTGACTATGTGGCTATAGGGCTTAGTCACCAGTGTGCAAGAAGGGAGGGGAGTCTTAAGTTCTTGACTTCTTGGCATTACCTGCCCTGCTGTTAAGACCATTTCCCGTGATGTACATGTCAATGATGGATAGCCACTAGCCTGACAGGTGGAAAAGCAGAATTGTCACTTGTGAGTTTACCTTTTCCATCTCCTGCCTCCTAGGCCAAATATCAGGCACTTCCTGAAGGAGATTCATTCTTCTGAAAGTAATTCTCTTTCTTCCTTTGCAAGACCCTGCAAGCAGAGAACTTGGTTCTCCCTTTTTAAAAGACCCTCTTGTGTCACAAAAGTTCTCAAGAAACTAGATTTGTAGAGTCCTGTGTGCTCAGGTGTTACCAGTTCTTGGATGCACTCAGACATTGTGGCAAATGCATAGAGGGAAGACTTTGCCCTCCACTATTTAACAGGACATTAGTACAGTGGAACACCAGATAAGCAGGCAAAGAAGACAAGAAGCCCCCTGGCTCCCATTAGTGGTGGTTGTTTAATGCACAATCTGATACTGTACTGTGAGATTACTTGGAACACTTGCACTAGCATCTCTTATTCTGAGGGAAGCTCTTCTCCTCCGCTCACTCCTCCCGAAGTGAATATATGGCTTTGCTATTCACATGTTAGCCGTGCAATGACTTTGCTAACTGGGTACCCAGAAGGAGAGCTTTGTTGCCCTTGTCACAGGTTCGCTTGAACTTGCAGAACAACTTGCAAAGCAGAGCTCCTTTTTCATTTTACAGCACTCCACTGATATCCAACTCAGGGCTTTAAATTCAGCCCTTTAAAACAAAACCATCTTTTCCTGGCTACACTAAAAGATGCAGTCAAAGTTAGGCCCCTGACCAAGCTGGGCATTGGATTAAGACAGTGGAGAACCTTCCTTCCCCACATTCCCATCCCAGCTTCACCCAAAATTCCCTCACCTAGAGGAAGCACCCAGTCCTTTTTACCTTGCCTGCTGGGCTCTGATTGGCTTCTGCCTGCTTCCACCCCTTCTAGCTGCTGCTGGACCAATTATTGTTGGTTCCACCGGCAGCCGATCCTGGGTGGCCTCTCTTTAGGAGCTCTTGGAGGTCTAAACTCACTGCTCTTTTCACCCAAAAGGTGGGCAGGGTGTGCCAAGGCAGCAGGGCTTCAATCATTCACTGGTTCAATCAAAATAAGCAGTCAGAGTTAGGCCTCTGACCAGGCTGTGCTTTTGGATTAAGACAGGGGAGATCCTTCCTCCCCTGTCCCTGCTTCGCACAGGACTGCCCTCCTGGAGGAAGCATCCCACCCTTTTTTACCTTACCTCCTACACCCTGAGCAGTGTGACCTAGTGGCTAGTGCACTGCACTGGGATCCAGGAGACCTGGGTTCTGTTCTTGGTTCTGCTGGTGGTCTTGGGCAAGTCACCAACCTACTATGTGCCTCGGTTTCCCCATGGGTAAAATGAGGATAATAATACTGACTGACCTCCTTTGTAAAGCACTTGGAGATCTATGGTGAAAAGCTCCATATAAGAGCCAGGTATTATTATTCCAGCAGGGGGCATCAAATGCCTGGCACACCTCATCACCCATTCAGAATCTGACCCCAGAGTTACGGGAGGGCAGAGAATGAACCCACATTATTAGAGACTTCATGAGGCAATAAAGCTGCATGTATAGAAATTCTAGATGGACGGTGTTGGTGTTGTGAGAGTGCTGGGGAACTGTGCAGGAGAAATCCTCCTCGCTCAGAGGCTGTGCTGTGCTCTGTCCTGTTAATTTTTTCAGCTGCTTGAATGTATTCTCCTTCCCTGACAGGTCCATGGGACATGTGTGTGCAGACACAACACAGCAGGGAACCACTGTGAGAGGTGTGCACCATTATATAATGACCAGCCTTGGAAGCCAGGAGATGGAAAAACTGGGGCACCAAATGAATGCAGAAGTAAGTGGCGGGGGGGGGTCGGGGGCGGGGGAGGGCCTTAATGTGTCAGGGCAATAAATCACCGTCCAAGTAGGCAAGGCTCTATAATAGACAATTCACCCAGTTTGGATTTATGGTGCTCTTGCAGCAGATGGGGAATGAATTGCTAGGTAACTGCTAGAAAATCCTTTCAATCAATGTATTTTTTTAATGTAGCTGGTCTATTTGATCTATTGCAATATAGAACATACAAGGCAGAACTCTGCTCTTCAAAGAGAAACATTCCCTCATTCATTTCACCATTCCCAAGCATGAGTGTCTACAGAGCTGCAGTAGGCTAAGAAAGCTTAAGGGGATAAGTTTAATGGGGGGAAAAGAAATGTTCAGTGATCTCTGTCCTTGGCATGTGCATGGGAACAAGGTTTCAGGAATGTTTTGATTTGAGTTGGTTCCAAGTCTATATTTAATATGAGATATAATTACATTATGTATTTATTAATAACTAGAAATGGATTTCAACCAACCTCCAGCCCCTCCCCTTCCCCAGTCCAAACAAACTAGGGCATTTGTGTGGTGAGAATCAGAATCCAAACTTGGATCTGGATCTAAATATGTTTATACAGTGGTCTGAAACAACACCCCAGTTCTGAGCACTCCGAGACTTAGGGAGGTTTGATGTCTATATGGTGGACTCATCCAAAACCCTGGATCCAAACACCCCAGAACCTTGGAGTGAAGTCCAACTCTGGATCAAATCTGTCCATCTCTATTTTTTCCTCCTCTAGCACTAAAGGTGTGCATACTTTACAAAACACAAAGTATAGCATTGCTGCCCCAAACAGTTTACAGTCTAAACTGGATGGGAAAAAAGCCAACAGTGTTTTAATGTGGGAGATTCTAACTGGAGCAGAACAGACAGAGTCATAGCTGATCAATCTCGGAAAATAAAGTGGACTTTCAAGTTTACTAATGAGGGCTACAGGTTTACTATAACATATATTAATTTTAGTACAATCAGCTTGCATGCTTCAAGCTAGAATTGCAGGACATTGAAACAATCCTGAAAAGTCTTTATCTTTTTGTTATATTTGCGTTGCAAAAGCAAAATTATGAGTGGCTAGAGCTGGTTGGAACACAGGGGAGGTTCTGCGGAAAATTTTGACAATATGGCGAAAAATCAAAATCTGGTTTCAGAGTAACAGCCGTGTTCGTCTGTATTCGCAAAAAGAAAAGGAGGACTTGTGGCACCTTAGAGACTAACCAATTTATTTGAGCATAAGCTTTTGGGAGCTACAGTACGCATCCGATGAAGTGAGCTGTAGCTCACGAAAGCTTATGCTCAAATAAATTGGTTAGTCTCCAAGGTGAATCAAAACCTGAAATCTTTCAGTCAAAAACTGAAATATTTTGGCCAAAAAACAAAATGTTTCAACCAAATATTGAAATATTTTTATTCCAAAATGCTGTCACAGTGCCTCATGTGAGTTGTCATTCAGTTGTCTCATGTTCCCTTTCTTCTCTACAGGAGGGCTGCCTGGTTGGACTGCCTCTCCATGGTGCTTCATGGTTTCTCCTCTTGTTGAGGAGAAGTGCTGTATCCTGGGAGTCGTACGGCTATGGTGCATCATGGAAGATGAAGTCCAGCTGAGGAACCCAGCCATAGAGAATGGGGAGATGAGCCAACTGAACTACAAATTTCATAAGGCACTGCGGCAGCATATCTGAATCTGAATTCTGGGGGTTGGGCCAAAATATTTCTGTTTTCAGGCATTTGGTTTTTTGACAAAAACAGACACTTTATAAATAATTTAGTTGAAAACCCAATTTTCTGTCCAAAACCAGTTTTGACAGGAATTTTTCAACTCGCTGTAGTAATGATAGATCTGTTATGGCCCAAAGGGCTCAGTTCTACAGGTGGAAATAAACAGGACAACACGAAAAGAAAAGATGGTCCAAGACGCATAGTTTAGATCTAGATTTGGATCTTAGCTTTCCCAAAGTTAGGCAGTGTTCAGACGTGGGGTGTTGGTCCAGGCCCACCTGTAATTAAATTTAGATACTTAGATAAGGTATACAGTTCGTGACCATTGGCTTTTTCACCTGACTGTCAGTCTTTCTTGGGATTTACTAGGAGTTTCATTCTGCTTTGACATTTCTGTTTTTAATGTAAACCCAGGAAGGCAGGCAAAAGAAAAATGTTTGGCATAAATTAATTTGGTCCTAAGTTCATTTCAATGAAACTGTCACATAAGTGATACTGTAGGCTCTGTGCTTTATAAACATGAGTGAGAAATGCATTTCCCTGCTCCCTAACAGAGTGCCGCTGTCACAACCATGCTGATAGCTGTCACTTCAACCTGAGTGTTTGGCTGGCATCTGGGAAACACAGCGGTGGAGTATGTGACAACTGCAAACACAACACGGAGGGACATCGATGTCAAAGGTGCAAACCAGGATTTTACAGAGATAGGGGAAAACCTATGTCTTCCCCAGAGGTCTGCAAACGTAAGTCCAATATACTACAGTACAAATGAATGGTGAAAGTTGTTTAGGTCTACACTTTACAGAGTGAGCTGAGACATGCAGCCCATTAAAAGTATCTACAGGTATCTGTGGAAATACATCATAAATACATTATCCTTTCCTCCGACCCTTGTTTGCGAGCTCTGGTTTCCTGGTCAAGGACACTTTCCTCCTGACTCTGGCACCAAAGTCTGATTTTGGTGTGGGATCGTGGAATGGTCTGATATAAAAAAATATATATATATTATCTGAAGCCATTCTATTTTTAGGGAAAGTTTTATTCTGGTTGCGTTTGCATTTAAAATGCTCCTGTGCTAGCGAGGCACACATTTTATTTAGTTGGGTTTATCTGTATCTCACCCAAAAGGGGCCTACAGTGTCCATGGGTGTATGTTCTAACTGCTGTGAGGCTCCAAGGAGCCACAGGTTGATTTTGCATTCTCTCCACAGACAAACATGAATAATATTGGCTGCAGGGGATGGGTAGGGAGTTTGAGCCTCTGAGCTCCCTCCCACATCTGACACCTTTGATCCCATCTAGTATTCCCCAGGAAGGTTTCTGTTTGTAACAATCCGTCATTTCATTCATCTCTCCCTCCCCTTGGATACTTCCCTTTCTCTGCCTCGGGATGAAGCTTGTTCTCTCCCCTATGCAATCATGATTCCTCCCCCAGCCCTGTCCACGCAGTCGTCAACACAGAAGAACTGCCTCCTTTGTCACCTATGTTCGTTCCCATTGCCAGCCATTGCTTCTGAAGTTCTCCTGCCCCTTTGACAGCCCTGATCAAGGTTTCTCTAGACATTTGGGTTACACATGCGCTTCTTGCTGGGACCAGCTGGCCTGCGATAGCACTTGATCATTCCGGGCACAACATGCCCTATGTTTCTGATCCTTTGTATTCACCTTTCATTGGATCTTAGAGCCAGCTCTGTCTCCCTCCAATTCTTTCTTTTTGATTTCTTAACCTTGCGACAAAGCTCATTGATCAGGGGAGGAGGCAGGGCTTCCTTGGCTGTCTTCCCAATTGTGTTTGATGATGCCCAGATTTCTAGGGATTTTTCTGCTGGTTTGTTTCTGCTCTGAGAGGACTTGCAGTATGCAAAGATTTGTAATGAGAATAAATTCTTGTTCCAGTAGATTAGATTTCAAGTCTTATGGCACCTGAAAGAATCAATGTACAAGCTCTTTTATTTGACAGCAAGGTGACAGTGTAGTAACCAGCACTGTGTGTAATATGAGATAATCATTAAGGCTAGGAACATTAAAGAGTAGCAGAGAAGAGAAAACATTATTTAAAAATACAGCCTATCTGTGAGGAAACCCTAGAACAGGCTGCCCGGGTGAAATCAGACCCTGAGCCTACCTACAACTCTTTTGTCCGGTCTGGGTACCACCTTCTCAGCACATCTTGCCAATGTTCTGCAAAACGAACAGGAAAACATTTCGGAAGGATGCAGTCACACAAGCAGAAATATACCCCGTTCAAACAGAGCTAGTCCTGTGGTGGCAGCATTTTAAGTAATAGCGTTTTTCCCAGCAAGATGGTTAATGCCAATAGAAGGCTCCCTGCAACTGTTCCCATCATGTATAACTTCTGCATTAAGACTCCAATTCTGCATAGCACTTATGCACATATGCATGACTTTAAGCATGTGGGACTGAAGTCAAAGGGATCACTCACACACTTAAAGTCACACACAGTGCTTAACTGTTTGCTGGCTCCTGACCTAAGGAACAGGTAGGCACTTTCCTCTCTAGAGAACCCCCTTAGCTTTCATGGCTGATTTGTGAACTGTGGTTGTATTTGTGTGGAGCAGGAGAAACATTCAGTCTTCAGAGCCTGTTCAGAGAGACGTATTTTCACTGGGTATTATTCTATGCCCTTTCCTATCTTATTTAAAGGTGAAGTGGAGAATTCCTACAAAGACATTCAGTTGGTTACCTAAATGGGCAGCTTTTTGAAGCTAAGAGCTGAGCTCCACAAATTTCCCAGTGAGGGCTGTGGGTCGGTGCGGGTGTAAAATGCTGCATCTACACAGGTAATTTTCAGGAAATCTCCCACTCTTCTGCTATCACTGTTTAGCTCGACCAGTGACACTACCTGTGAAGGCACTCATGGAGATAGAGCCCCCATACTCCGCCGATGCAACAGTTGTGGGGAGGAGAAGCATTGCACTGGGTGAAGCAACAGTAGGTTTGGTAGGGGGAAAGATTCATCCCACAGGGTCCCCCCTGATGCAAGGGCATTTACGGAAGCTTGGCACAGGGTTGAAGATTTATCCCATAGTGAACTTTAACCCATGGAGGTGCATTTCTCTCACACCTCAGCCTGCTGATCACGACCTGAAGAACTACCAAGTCTGGGTGAATAGCTTTGTGAAGGATTGGGCATGCCACCTCCTACACATCCACTCACGTTGGCTGAGAAAACCCTCCGAATAGTACCAGAGTCACAACATTAAATAACTAAATGTTTTCGGGAAATGATGAAGAGAGCCATAATGAATTGGTCACGGCAGACTGCACGGATGCTTTTGGGGTGAGCAACGTGGTTCTTGGCTTCACATTGGTGTGGAAGGGAGAAGAAATACAGGGGATTAAAACTCACCCAGTATTTACAGTAGACACTGACCTGGGAACTAAAAGATGATGAAAAAGATGAATGAAACGCTGTGTTAAGCCTTTTGAGAAATCATGCTTTAAGAGAGTGCTCTTCCATCCAGAGCAAAGTCTCGGTTAAGCTACGACAGCCCCCAAAAAGTTAGCAGGACTCTGCTAAGGCCCAGAAGGAATCTTTAGGCATTAGTCATAATAATCGGCAGCATTCTTTCTTAATCACTGCTAGGGGGGAAAAGGGTTGTATAACAACTGGCTGCACTGCTGCTATCCAGATCCCCCTTCCCTGACTTCTCCATTTACAAGACTGAAAAGACATTTGCTTTAAAAAAAAAAAAAAAAAAAATCCCAGCTGAGATTTAACATGTAAATATGATTCTGCCATTCCTTTTCATCTGGAGAGATCGCCTGTCTCTGACCTCTTTGCTTCTGCTGTTCCTGGCAGCTGGGGATGAATGGGAGCCAGGTCATGCACAGAGCCTTGTTTTGACACTGCTTAGATTAAAAAAAAAAAAAGAAAGAAAGAAAAGGACATGAAAAGAGCCACAGAGCCCAGCACACACCTGCTTGTTATTGCGGGTGACAACACAGGATTAAACAGTTTGGATATAGGCTTGTATGGGAGCTTTGAGTCAGAAGCCTCGTGAAGCCGAATCGTTTCCCAGCCAGTGGTCAGAAAAGCTGCTGTATCCTTGGCTCTTTCCTGTGGCTTATTTGGAGGCTTAAAGGATACTTCTGAACTGACACCATCTTTTGTATTCACCCTTTGCTTATCCAAGGGGGGAAAAAAAGCAAGTATGTAGGACCGTCAGGCCAAAGTCTTCAGGGAAATGGGCTTTTTACTCTAGCAATCAGCTTGAAAATTAAAATGTGCGCATGCACACACATCCCATCAATAAAGCTGTCCCTTCCCTTCCCTTCTTTCCCCTCTAGACAGATCTGTGAACCTCCCAGTTGTAATATTTGGGATTAATCACATCTTTGTTAGAGTCAATATCTCAGTCGGCCACACAGATGGTGACCACACCCGCACAGACTGTAGTGTATCTAATTTCCTTGATTTACGGGACATTGTTGAGTGGTTTTGGCTCCACATTTGACCTGCTTTAAAAATTGTTCGAATTTGGTTGGGATTATATTCCAGATTCCAAAGATTTTGTTTTGAAATTTGGAAAAGATTGAATCTGCTGTTAACTGTGTTTTGCACCGTAGTTTTGACAGAAATGAAAGGTTAGTTATCTTTGTCGGTATGTCTACACTGCAACCAGAAACCTGCAGCTGGCCCGTGCCAGCTGACTCAGGTTCACAGGGCTCAGGCTAAGGGGCGGTTTAACTGTGGTGTAGACGATCCAGCTCAGGCTGCAGCTCAAGCCCTGGGACCCTTCCACCTTGCAGAGTCTTAGAGCCAGGGTTCAAGCTTAAGCATCTAGCACTGCAATTAAGCATTCCCTTATAGCCCACGCTCCATGAACCCAAGTCAGCTGGCATGGGCCAACCGTGGGTTTTTAATAGCAGTGTCGACATACCCTGAGTGTCTCTTACGTATGAATTCATTGGAGTACTATATGCCTGCTATATTCATGTTGGTTGGAACCACATTGTTGCAACTAATATTATAGTTTACATCTGTATCTAATTAAGATACAGCTGGAGACATCTGTGCTGAGAGCAGACAAATATTTATCTGCTTTATGACTGCTTTCATTCCTTGGTTCCCTCTCTGTCAACAGCATCCTGGCAAAAATCTTATAACTGCAGCTGCCAATAAAAATCCAAGTGGACATGTGGGATACTTCAGTGACCAACAACAGCCACCTCTAAGATACAACCATGTAATATTTTGTAGTGTAAATATTTTGCTGCTGTAAAGGGCAGAACCCAAATAAACAGGGCCCTACCAAACTCATGGTCCATTTTGGTCAATTTCATGGTCATAGGATTTTAAAAATCAGAAAGTTCATGGTTTCAGCTATGTAAATCTCAGATTTCACAGTGTTGTAATTGCAGGGAGATTTTGACCCAAAAAGGAGTTATGGGGGGGTCACAAGGTTATTGTGGGGAGGGGGGGTTGCTGTACTGATACCCCTACTTCTGCGCTGCTGCTGGCGGCGGCGCTGCCTTCGGAGCCGGGCAGCTGGAGAGCGGCGGCTGCTGGCCGGGAGCAGGGTGGCAATACCGTGACCCCGCCCCCACAAAATAACCTAGAAACCTCCCTGCAACTCCCTTTTGGGTCAGGATCCCCAATTTGAGAAACGGTCTCCCTTGTGAAATCTGTATAGCATAGGGTAAAAGCACAGAAAAGACCAGATTACACGGTCTGTGATGCGTTTTTCAAGGCTGTGTATTTGGTAGGGCCCTACAAATAAACTAGCCAGCTCTGTGCCAGAATTGTCTGTCCACTGTCCCTAACATCCTTTGACAAAAAGGAGGTAAACCATCCATTGTCATGTTGGTTTGTGTTTCATTAGAAAGAGGTGAATGGAGAGAAAACTCGGGTTTGCCAAAGGGAAAAGAGCAAAAATCAGCAGAGAAAGACATTTTAGTTACAAACACTGGGAAATACAAAAAACTCAGTTTGTAAGAACTTACTTATGACTCTTTAATTGTGAGGTTTATCATCAAACCTGTTATGTTATTTGACAGATAAAACCTGGTCATCAACAGCTGCCCTTCAGCATGTGACATTCAGATTCATATTTTGGGAGTTACCTTAGCCTCAGAATTGTGAGTTTGGTCATAATACTCTAAAAGCCAGACAATGCACACACCCGAGTTGATATGCTAAATAAACACAGACTGAGGGAAGCATTTGTGAGCCATTTGTGTAACTCATCTGAAAGTGTCATGCATTTATTTGTTCAGTTTTGCTTTATGACCCGTCAAGAGCTGCCAAAGCTTCTAACTGGAAGCAATGCCTGCTTTTCATTTTTGGACCATCAACTTTCCTTAGTTATATCCCTGAACTAAATACATGCACTATTTTCTCTACCTCCCTCCTTGGCCTCTGCTATAAATCACGGCCCACTGGAGCACTTTCCCTTTGGCTGGGATGGTGAAATTCACATTCTCCACCTATCTGACATCCTGTCCTCAGCTAGAGTAAGCTAGCATAGCTTCATTGGAGTGACACTGATTTACACCAGCTGACGATCTGGCTCCAGATACGGAAACCTGGAAAGACAAGAGATGAGACCGAACAATCTGTAAAGAACAGAGATAGATCCAAACTAAAACTCTCAATCCAAATACCAGTGAACTTTGGGAAAGCTGGATCCTAATGACATAGTAGGGGAAATCAAGAACAAGGATTCAGACAAACCCAGACTGTGGCAAAGTTTGGATTTTTTTTGTCTCAGACCTATCTCTAATGAGGAAAGCACCCATTTCCCATGTCCAAAGACCAAGGACAACATTTTCAAAAATGTCAACTAATATTAGATACCTCCATTTTTGGAGTGGTGTTCAGCACTTCTGAAAATCTGGGCCACAGTGTCTCAAGCTGAGCACCAAAAATCAGAAGCAACTTTTGAAACGTTGGTGCAAACGTGCCCTGTGATGTTACATCTGATTTTCAAATCCTGGTGAACAACAACCCTCAGATTGCTCTCAGGCTCAAGACTCCTGTGTGACGGCAGCAGTAGAGCCTGATGCTACCGTGCCACTAGCCAACAAGCTCATTGTGTGGAATACATTGCTCATTATAGTATGCTTATTTTCCGTCTTCAGGCTATTGTGCTAATGTTCCCTTGAAAACAACTGAATAGGATCCTTCTGCAGCACAGTATAATAATATTATTAAAAATATTGGCATGAAGAACACAGCTAGGACAGGGTGAAAATATAATATCTAATGGAAGATCACAAGAAAAATGCCCATTACACAAACTGCTGGGCACTGCTTTTTCTCTTATTAGTATTCCCAAAAGAGATTTTTCCTTTCTAAAGAACAAACATGATGATGCGCATGAAAGTAAATCCATCATCACTGCCATTATCCTTTTTCATAGAGCTCCCTTCTTGGACAGGGCTGTGTGGAACCAGTGTGTTCATTTGGTCTCTTATCTGTGAGCTCAGGAAGAAAAGTTGTTTGATCAGCAGTAGTGATAGGCAAACTTCAAAAGCACTGGAGTAAAGATAATCGTCCAAAAGGCTGGCCCCTAAGCCAAACATCTTGGGTGTCCAACATCTGACTGGAAATCCCTATTAGGGCAGGTCTTATCCCCAAGATTTTTGTTTCTTCCTTCTTGCAGGTGGATGAAATTGTGACATCTTGGCACTTCAGGCTTTGGTGCCAGCAGAAATCAAGAGGTGTCACAATGTTCAAAAATGAGAGGGAGCTAAAATATGAGCCGGACCTGAGTTTGGGGTGAAGATTCAGCTCAAGTCTCCATTTGTCCAAACCTATTCAAACATCACATGTCAGCGGGCCAGATCCTCTCTTGTGATCTAGCCTGGTAGAGCTGCCCTGACAGAACAAAGGGGCTGGCAGTCTGCCAGATCTCCCCAGTTGAGAGTTCCCCTGGTGGAGAGGTGTCCCAGCTAATGCAGTCAGCTCTGGCCTCACCCACTCCCCAAAGCCCCTGGCATGGAAACTTTGTTAGGGGCATGGCCAGAACACCACTGAGCTCCAAATTGTCTTAGCTGGCGTAGTAGCCCCTGGAGGCCATAGCCAGCTGCTCTACTTTACAGCAGCCTCCAGACTATTCTGATGTATGCCAGGGCTGGTGTTGAAATGGCACCAGAATCAGAGAGCCGCACCTGGCTCTTCTGTCCCCTCTCTCGCTGCACTCAGCAGATAATGGTCATAACTGAAATATACACAATGGGTTTGGAGATCTCTCTCTCTCTCCCCCTCCCTCTTGTAATGTATCCATTGATGTGTGCATGCAAACTTCAAGTTCACATTGGGAAGAGAACCTACGGCCCTACAGGTCTCACTAAAGCAGAATCATGGACTCCTCAAATCTAGAGCTGGAAAGGGCCTATCCGGTTGTCTGGTCTGTCTCCCTCGGCCAGTGCAGAATTGCTTTTCATGTTGTACTTTTACTAGTGTTTTGTCCAGTTTAGTTTAAAATATACCTAGCAGTAGGAATTCCAACACTAGCCTGGGGAGCCTGTTTATCCCGATCTTCAGCCTAAATTATTTCCTCCTTGTTTTCATCTCCTTGCTTGGCACATCCTCTCATATATCACACTAGCAAATCCTCTCTCTCTTGTGAAAATTCTCCCTCTCGCTCTCTAAATGTTTGGGCACTATTATACGGCCGCCCACTGTTGTAAACATATCCCTCATGCTGCAACCAAGTGCTCTTAGCGCTAAACAGCCTGGCTTCTGACCATTGTGGTGCAAGTGTGCAGCACAGCGGGCACCTGAGAGGTCTTTGTGCGTACACAGAAGACTATGACTGATTTATATTATTTTATTGTATAGCCCCACACGGGGCAAATCCTTCCAACCCACAGCCTACAGCCACATACCATCCAAAAGGCAAGTTCACAGATGGGCATAATGGGAAGCCCACTCTGGCGACGTATGCACCTTGGGGCCCCAGACATGGTAGCCCAGTCAGGTGTTTTATAAATTCACTTGCCTGCCCCTCCCACCTCCTTGCAGAGTGAGTCCACACCAGTAACACAGGCTACTGCATATCTGTATAACACTCTTTATTTGAGATTGGTGCAGGGGGAAGGATTTGGGCCACAGGAAATGGTGCTGGCACATGAATCGGTCTCAGGTGAGCATTTAGCAGTTCGGGTTTTATTTTGAATCCATTGTTATGCTGAATGAGACAACACCCCACCAATGCTTAAAAATTACATTTCCATTTTGAACCAAGGCTGCCTGAGAATACAATGCTTCTCAGTGCTGATGTAAGAAGACTGGCTGTTGGGAATGAGTGGGACCCATGGAGGTTATCAGCCTTGCAGAAACATCACCTAAATTGCTGACCCTTGGGATATCATCTCAATCACTTCTTATGTCTTGTTAGCTTGCTCCTGTCAACCTATGGGATCGGCCAATGCAACCTTCAGCAGAAGCTGGCGGTGCCACCCAAAGACGGGGTTCTGTTACTGCAAGCCAGGCGTGGCAGGCCCGAACTGTGACAGATGCCTTATGGGATACTGGGGCCTTGGAGAAAATGGCTGTCATCCTTGTGACTGTGCCAGAGACTGCGACCCCCACACTGGAAACTGTTTCAATGGGTAAACAAGGCCCCTTTTATGGGGAGATAATCCTTTGGCTCACTTTTGGGCCTTTAATATGAAACTCTGATTAACACTTGGAATCCTGCACAGATGGCATACATTCAAGGAAGTGGGGGGAGGTAATAGGGGAAACAAGACAGTTCTCTGCATCCACCTGAATTTGAGTGGATTGCAGCACTGGGTCATTCAGATGCCATTTGACTGCTTCCATGTAAGTACATCCATAATACTCTTTAAAGGCAGTTCTGAAGCAAAGGTCTTTTCTAGTTATGATAGGTAACTCCATGACCCTGCTTGTGTCCATGAAACTACTGTTTGCTTTAGAAAAAGTAAATGAAAGCATCTGAAGAGCTTGCTGTGCTCTGTGGCCTAGGTGAAACAAGTTGGAGAGTCTCACTCCAATTCCTAGTGTGCAAATGTTCTCATCACATAAAACACAGACACACACGTGACTAATTGGTGACAGACTCAGCAAAGGCCAAGCCTGAATGGCCCACAGAGACTGAAGTACTCTTCCATCCATAGTAGTAGTCCTTTTAGATCACTGGTGGTGTGAGGAAGCCTGCACAGATGCTTCCAGTGCTCGTCATTTTCGACAGATAACTGCAGGAACTCAGTCCCAAGGATCATTAGTGAAGTGTTTCACAGTGTGAGTCAGTGAAGTTGAAGTATAAGCCCAGATATCGTAGTCTCTCTATAGGGCAGTGAGCTACGGTTTTGCTCTTATTTGTATTCAAGACTAGATGTGTGATTAAGTTTGCTCATCATGGCCTCTGAGGCCATGTTCCTTTCTGGCCCTGAATGCTGCTGGCATGTGGTAGTAGCTTCCTCCCTGCTAAACATCAGAAATCCTAACATGAGATTTTTCTTCTATGTTTATCTCCTCCAGTTATGAAAATGAGCCATTTTTCAACATCCCCATGGGTGGGCGAATCCCTGACCTCCTACAAATGCCAGCCAATGAAAGCGATGAGTGGAAATGGAATGATCATGAGCAGGGATTTTCTGCATTGAGACATCCAGGTATGTTTAGCGTTATAAAATCCATCGCTCAGTGTTTATTAAATAAATAAATAATTCTTATAGAGTGCTAGAAATAGGCATGGCTTTTGAACAAATGCATATATTTATTTTATTTATGATTTGTTTCTTCACATTTCTAAAATGAAGGTGTTCATCTAGTGTTCTGGGTGTCTATCCCATAAATTAAAAATCACAACATAAACAAAGGACTGCCTATAAAATATAAGTCTTCCCTCCTCTTTAACTACTTGAGTGAAGAGAGTAAAAAGATAGCTAAGATAAGTTCTCTGTCCCAGAGAGTTTACAGTCTAACACAAGACAATACACAGGACAGCAGCTCAGGAGAGGGTGAAGGAAGGGAAGAACAAGGCTGCTGCATCAGCCTGTGCTTCCCAGAGTCCCACTGCTCTGCAGCCCTACGGCACCCTTCAGAAACTTAAAGCCACAATATAGCTGGCCCACATATAGCTGTCCAGTCTGATCCTTTGCATCTTTGTAGGACTATTCCCTGCACCATTTCCTCTCATATCCTATCAAAACTGCTCCTGCATATTGGAGATGTAAAAGAATGATGGTGGCATCATAAGTTATTCAAATGTGGAGGCAAATGTGAGCATCCCATGAATGGGTCTGAGACTTCTTTGCCCCCAGCTCTGATTATTTGTCAGGACACTCCAGGATGAGTTCAAGGAGAGATCTGAACTGTGCTGGTTATTTGTATTTTCCAGTGCAGGTTGAACTATCCAACTCTGGCTTTGCGGTCAAGAAATGAAAAAGTCATAATTTAAATCAAATCTCAGTGAAAAATACGCTTCCCATTTGTATTATTCATTGATTTACATAGTGCCCTTTGGAAGCTTTCAATTGCTTTGTAGAACTACAGATGCTATATGTAGAAGGATCATTTGATCCATGGCTGAAGTGCAGCCATCTGTGGGATGGAATGTAGGTGCTTTTAAGAACACCTTATGGCCACACTAAGCAACAATTCAAGACAGGCAGTAAAGAAGTATATTGTATTCAGCTAAAGTAAGGGGGAAATTAGTCCAACACAATATAGTGGAACCTTTAATGCCTAAAAGTGGTCAAAACCTCAGTTTTACATAGCATATTACAGACAGCACCAGTTAGTTCATCGCTGGTTCTATACTGACTCAGAGGAAAACGTGCCTCCTGTTGAATCCCCAACATGTCCTGAAGCACCAGGGATTTTCCTTAGAGGACTTCCATCTAAGTACTGATAAAGTTTAATATTGCTTATCATATGACATCTAACAACAGCATTATTTATATTACATTATTCACACCTGGATCTGATTCTGATTTATCTTTTGTTAGCATCAGTTTATGAACTCTGTAATGGACCCGATGCAGACCGCTTTTTACTTCACAATACGGACCAGATTTCAGAACCATTTTTGTATTGCTTAACAAGAACCAGCTTTGCAAATAACTGAGCTCACTCTGAAATCTTCTTTAACCATCTGTGTTTATTCAGATAATTGGAGCAACTTTTATACATAGATGTGTGTGTGTATATGAATGAACATCATTTGCTTTGCTTTTCTCTTTCATGTTCTGGCCCTTCTTCAACCCCTTGTGGTCTCTGGTTCCTACACTAGAAAAGTGTGTGTGCAAAGAGAAAGAGCTCGGAAGTGTCACTGATTTCTGCCAGATGAAATACGCATATGGTAAGTGGCTGATGTGCCTTCATGGTATGATCATTCCACTGTTTTCTTAGCTGGTACCTGTGAAATCATAGATCGGTTTCCTTCCTCCTTTTTTATCTAGTGATACCTCCCAGTCCTGGGAAGAGCTGATCAGAGGACAGCATACTTCCTGTAATGATGATTTCTTCAATGCCAAGCAAATCAACCTGGCCTTCTTGAACTCAGGCACATGCTTACACCTATATGTGTATGTGCTGTAGACCAGCAGACCATGTCAGGACTCCTTTTTTCCTCTGGTGCTCCTCTTCTGTCTACACAGCACCTCCCTCCCATTTAGCAATAGAGGAAGGGCAGGGTGGTCAGGATTCCCTGACACCTGCCTGCTATTCCCATCACCCTGAGGTTCAGAACCCATTCTATAGGTCTTGCAGTAGGATTGCCACCCTTTTGCAGTTTGCCCTGTAGGATAAACTTGCTGTGTCTGTTTCTCAATACCTTATTTATCACCCTGGCAAATAAGCAATTATGTCTTGTCATCACTCTGTGAAGGGTCATGGCCACCAAAAGACACCACATTTTGACTCAACATAATCACATCGTGATCAAACAAAGCCTATTTGTGGGATTAGCCTGTTGAAAGTTGGATGATCTTGCAAAATCAGGAGGAGTGGCAACCCTGTTAGGTCACAAATCAAAGTAGCTTTTTCCAGCTTATCATTATCATCTTAGAATTCTAGTCATGTGGCATTCCTGCACTCCAGTAGGAAATTTCCTGCCCTACAGGGTGAATTCCATTGCTTAACACTGAATTATTGTACAGCGGGCAGGAGGAATTTTAAAGGCTCAGGATTGTAGCTATGTAAATCTATTGCAAGCCTTCCAATGTCCAAACAAAAATCTGCCCAGGCTCTGAGTCAGTTTGCTTAAGATCATACTGTTGGCTGCTGGACTTTCTTTGTTTTTTATGGCATTCCTATTATCACGGGTTCCACTCACCACAGTGGCGCCTTCTGCTGGCCGCCCTGGGGATTAGCTCTGCCAGTTGGTGCACCCTCTTCCGGAGGTACCTCTCCTGTCATCGTCTCTGCCTGCAGATCTGCATCACTCCAGGAACCAGAGAGTCCTCTTCATGACTCGGCCCTTCGACTGGGTCACCATCAGTGTTTCCCCCTTCTGGGATGTATCAAAGTTCAATATTTAGGCCACTTCCCCAGTGGCTGATGGGGGGAAACCCAGGCCCTCCCACTACTCCTGGTCCTGACCCAGGGACCCTGAAGATAGCAACCTCCTGCTGTGACTCTTTAACTTCTCCCAATGCTGCTACATTTCCCTAGGCCACTTCCTCACAGCCCCAACACCTTCTTCGCCCTCACCTCAGGGCATTCAGTCCCAGCAGCCAGCCAGGAGCTCCCTCTTGCTCCCCCGGTCCCTGCCAGCAGCTGCTCTGTCCAAGGTGCTACAGTTCCCTCAGCCTGCTAGGGACACAGTCCTCACTCCTTGAGCTCCCAGCAGCCATTAACTTATTCTACCTTGCAGATTCTCTTATATGGCCTTGTTGGGCCTGGATTGATTGTTCCCTGAAGCTTTTCTCTGATTGGCTGCACCCCAAACAGCCACTCTAGGCTGCTTGGAGGACTCACCTCCATTGCTCCACTCTGGGGCAGGGCATGCTAGGACCATGAAGCCTCCACTAACCCCTTCCACTCCTGTGTGGGGTGGACACCCCATCACACTATACATACCCTAGAGGTTTCCTATGACTTTTGAGCTGTTGGCAGCAACCCATTGGAGATGAGCTGATAAAATTGGGAAGGGATTAGTTAACTGTCTAAATTGAAAAAATCCAGCATTCCTTCCCCAGATTCATTTAAATGGGTGCTGTGATTGAACCAGAATGCTCATATGTCCCTGACCAAGAGCCAGTACCCTGACATGATTGTTTGTGCCTCATCCAACAGTCCCTAACATTCTACCCTCTAGCCATATAAGGAAAATACCACTGCTTACTTTGAAATGAATTACTGGTTTGTGCCCATGTGTATATTTTCTGGCAGTGATAAAAGCAAGAATCCTATCGGCTCATGACAAAGGAACCCATGCGGAAGTTGTAGTGAAGGTAAAGAAGGTCCTGAAATCAGGCAAAGTGAAAATTGCCCGGAGTAACAGAAGTATCTATCCGGAGTCCTGGACCAACAGGGGATGTACATGCCCCATTCTCAATCCTGGTAAGTATTAAATGCTTATGGCGTGGATTCTGTGGGGAAAAGACTATGTCAGTTGTTAAGGTATTAATGTTCCCAATTCTTATGTCACTTTCACTAGTGTAAATCAGCTATTGAAGCTAATGAAATTGTATTGGTATGGCACCTATGTGAGAACTACACTAGTTGACCATGCTGCTGGAATAATCCATTGAGGAAAAGCTGGTCCGGGTAACATAAAGCAAATGAACAGATTAACAGAGTAAAGCTGGTACGCTTATTGGAGTATTAAAGAGAGAAACATAACTGAGAAATCCTTTATTCAAATAGTTAGGGCTGAACTATGCCTCCCTGTGGTGGGTTTGCTACAGGGGAGTGGGCACAGAGACCCATTCTCCCTTCACTGCCCAAGCATCTGCACAGTGACCAGGCATAATCTGTTTCCCAGAGCTGGGGAGTGCAGGGCTGGGGGGCAGTTAGTCCTGCCAGCAGCTCTAGCAGGTTCAAACTGGTTCAGTGATGCCTTTCTGAGTTTGAAGACAGCCTGAAACAATAGCTGTGAGGTGTGAACTGCCCCAGACATCTTAATGTATTGTTACTTTGAAACTTAAAGCTCACAATTTGCAGCATGTGGGGAACTCAAAATATGGGGCTAACATACAATAAATGAATTTAATGCCACAATAAATGAGACAGGGGCTTCGGTGCTGATTGGATTATTCATCTTTAGATCTAATTCAGTAAAAACATCCCTTTTAAACATTTATCTGTAGCCACCGCAGAATTCCCACAACAGTGCCATAGAATCTAGGGCAAAACTGCCGTTGCATACATGCCTTGCATCATATACAGTATGCATAGAGAAAAGGAAATGCAATCTCAGTGTTAACCATAATGCAATCCTAGAATGTAAATAAATCCAGATCTCACATTTCAGTTCATTACTACATTAGATTTATGCTTCTGAATATACAGGTTTGAAAGAAAAAGAGAGAGAGTTAGAGAGGGAGGCATTGTCTAGTGGTTTACGCACAGACTTTTGGTCCAGGAATTCCTTGAATCCCATCTCACAATGACTCCCTCTGTGGGCACGAGAAACCCTCTGCCACAATTGCTTCATGTGTCAAGTGGAGCTAATGTTTATCAGAACTTATCTACTTCACAGGGGACTTGGAGGATTAATTAGTTAGGGCACAACTGGGAGCCTTGCTGTGCACCTGCACAGGGGAGGGGCTTGTATGAACTAGTGACAACACCAGAACAAGCAGCTATTCCCCCTCCCCCTCAGGTAGGCAGGGAGGGAGTAGAGCCACCCCATACCTCTGAATACCACACCCAAGATGGCACAGAAGGGGAAGTAACCTGTGCCAGCAAAAGGGCTGGTGCATATTACTTCCCTGCAGGACAAGGGGGAAATAGGAACCAAATGATGTCTTGGAGGCACAAGAGCAGCACTGCACAGCTTAAAAATTGAAAAGCACATCGGCGCTGATTTTTATTTTTCCCAGTGGGTGCGCTACCCCTACTCTGCCCAGAGGCCCTGCCCCCACTCCGCCCCTTCCCCCAAGACCTGGCCCTCGCTGCCTCTTCCCGCCCCTGAGCACCCCCGGAGTCAGTGCCTATGCCAGAAAGCAATATTATTAGTAGCTGAATGGATGGATTTTTCAGCAGAGCCCTCACTACTGCCTTCTTTCCCATCAAGCAATTTAGTGGACTGGAGACAGAAATATTTGTATTGCCCCAGCTGAAATCCCATGTGGATAATTATGGGGAGATGAGCTAGAGAGCCCACGTAAGTGCCTTTAACTGTGCTAACTGGAGTCTGGAAATGTCTTTTGGACCCTGCTTTCTTTTTTTCATCCAAGTAGGCAGCAAAGGGCTTGATCCCGAGAGGTGATGAGCACCCACAGCTCCCATTCACTTCAGCAAAGGCTGCAGGTGCTCAGCACCACTTAGGATCAGGCCCTGAATGAGACAGGTAACTTGGGTTTTTTTTGGATGAGCTAAACAGTGTCTCCAAGGATCATGTTTCACTACTGTGCCTTACACCATGGAGAGTGGGGACTTATCCACATTCTAAAACAAAAACTTGTTAGATAAGTTACCCTACATTTTTTCCTCTGAACAGATTAAACACACTTTCATGCTGAGTGAAAGAATTCCTTGTATTTGGTCTGAAATCCAAGGCTTACCCTGAGCTCTAAGGCAAATTCTCATCTGAAATCAGCTACATACAAAAGAGCCAATTGTTCTGGGATTGGCTGAGTCCAATCAAATCCAGTGTGAATTCTTCCAATCAGTCCAAAATGATTTGTGCCCTCTCAAAAATTATTTGGGTCTTGCATTATCTGTACCACCAGGTGAGGAATTGGGTTTGAATTTGCAGGGATGCACTATATGGTCTCTGAGAGCTGTACTTCAGCAATGTAACTCAAACTTGGTCAAATACATTTTACTGACTGTGGTGCAAATGGTTAAGGTATTCTCTTACACTTCCTGTCCTAAACTCTTTTATGGTATAGCTGTGGACCGTTAAACAGCTGCAGGGCTCCCTGCCCAGCAGTGGGAGCTGTAGGTCAGGGTTGGTGAAGATGTGTTTAATATAGGGTTAGACTGTGTTCAACCCTTCACAGAAGCTCAAGGAGGGGAGAGGGCATAAGGAGTCCAGCCCCCTTGATTCTCTTTAGCTGTTAGGAGTATGGGGCCCCTGAAACACTATTGTACAGTTCTGATGCTAGCCAGTGTACCTGCAGTGATGCACCTGCACACTAGCCAGTTCTTCACAATACAATAAGTTTGTAAACTAGATTTTCATCACAAAATTATGCACTAGATTCACACGTGGTGTAAATGAGCATAATTCTATTGACTTCAGGTTTCTATGCCGATTTCTACCCACTGAGAATTTCACTGTACATGCTCACTCATGTTGAGATTCCCTGCTTTTATTCGGCTCATGATTTTTACACACCCCTTTTCCCTTACTTCTGCATGCATATTAGCTTTTCATTCCCATCACTTTACTTCCAGCAAGGAGGGAGCGGGGTGGCGGTGGGAGGGGTAAAGGGTAAGCAGCAGCCACCAATGCCAGTCCAAACTGCCACTGTCGTCAGCAGGGCTTTCTGCTGTGCAGGGTGATCTGGCTTCCTGCCCAACCGTCTCTGCAGCATTGTGTTGTATGTTCTTCTCTGGCTGATGACAGGAAGTCCATATTTAATCTCACAGCCTTTAGAGTTTAATCATAAAACTTTACTTATGGAGCTACCAATGGATTTGCTGTATGGATACTAAAGAAAGACCTTCTGCTTTCCATATTAGTAACTCCCGGCAGAATAAACTATTGAGCTGCCCTCTGCTTTGCACATGAACGAGCATTTCTTAAAAAAAAGCATAGGAAACCTCAGGATTTTTAAAGGCCGAAGAAGTATAATTTGGGGGTAAATACTGCCCTCTCTCTCCCCTTCCAGGGCTGTGGAGTGCTCTGTCTGCAGTGAAATTGGTGTGCTTTCACTGTGCAAGGGGTTGCAGAGCAGGATTTGGGGGAAGGGAGGAGTGAGCCAAGGCCAGTGACTCCCATCACTATCAGCCTCAGTCCTTCTTAGGGAGCGGGGTTGCAACAGCAGCCTCTACTGAAATTGCAGGGCTCCTGAGTAGGGAACATAGGGAATGTATAATCCCTCAGAATCCCCTTTCATCACTACACATACTTGGGGGTATCAGGGGATTCGGCCCTGTGTTTTTAATAAACTTTATAGTATAATAGTGGGGTTTGTCCGCTTGAGTAATAAATCATTAGCAGTATCTGTGTCTTGCTAATGAACTGATCACAGTTGGGCGTCTCACCTCTGTGGTTATGCCTCTAATCCTATGGGGATGTGGTGGTTACATTTCCTGGAGTTGCCTGAGCTGCTGTTAAAGATCCTTATTGTGTCAGGAGAATGTGCATTGTTGTACGAGAAGAATACCGAGCTGGCAGTTGTCATGTCAAACAGCCATTTCAGCTAATCTGTGTGGCGCACACAGATTAATCTAGCCCTTTAGACTGCTCACCAGCCAATCGGAACACTGCCTCAGCTCAGGCGCTTTAATAATTGTGTTTATTTTGTTCCTCACCAGAAAACACTGACTGACAATGTGGTCTTTCTGTTGCTGCAGGTTTCAGCTATGATGGGGGAGGGAAGGCAAGATCTGTACCTTCCCCCACCCCCCTTGCCTATCATCCAGAAGTTTTGTTCCACACATTGAACCCGAAGTAATAAAACTTTGGATATTAACAGGTTGGATATAGAAAGGCTGCCAGTCCCCCCCCCGCCCTCTCCCGCAGATGGATGTCCAAGCTTCATTTCAATTAAAAATCAAGCAATCACATACACATGACATAAATACACAAGCAACCAGATACCATACAACAGCCATATGCAATAAGGCACAAACAAAAAAAAGAAACAGACACAGCAGACAAACGGATACACAATAACAGACGCACACACACCAGGCGTATGGATAGGAACGCACACACGTTGCTGAAAATAAGACAGTGTAAATTGCGAGCCAAAATCTAGCCATCCTTTTCAGTTGGCAGATGTTTCTTTGTTGTGTTTTAATGACTAGGGAATTTGCACCTTCCACTTGTGTTTTGTGCTATTAAACCAACAAAATCAAGATAACTTCAGAGGGACACAGCTCCCTTCATAACATGCCCCAAGGTGCTTTAGCTGTTACAAGGGCCTCTGAACAGTAAGGGAATTTTACATATCATACCGGATACAATACACAACAAAAAAACACCTCTGTGTTTAATGCAAAACATCGTGATTTTCCGTGGTGCCTCAGTCTGGCCTTTCCTTGAAGGTGTACAATTTTGTATGAACTAGCACATTTTCTGTACACTAGCAGTTGCGTGTGCAGATGATAATCTAACAGGGATGCTTTAGAATTCTCACATTCAAAACCAGCCCACACCTGGCAAGACCTGATTCTGCTGTCACTTGTACCTGTGCAAACAAGGAGTAGTTCCACTGAAACCTATGGAGTTAAATTGGTGTAAAAACCAAATCAAACCCCAAACGCCACAACAACAAAAAACCAGTGACAGGGAGATCAGAATCAAGCCCAATCGCTTGCTGGTGCGGGTGTTAAGATTTTGAAAGGTCTTAAACCCCTTGGAACAAATAAGGTTTGTGTGTGAAGGTTCTAATATGTGCACACGCACGTTAGAATGTATTGCTGGTGTACAGAGGAATTAGTGCAAAGAAAGTGTATGCACATAGAAATGTATGTGCACAACCTGGAATATTCATTTTAAAAAAAAGGTTGAAGCTAGCTAAGGTGCAAGATCCTGATTCCCCGGGGAGTGGAGATATTAAGTAGGTACTCCTCTGTTTTATTTATTTAAGTAATTATTTTTTTAACCAGGAACAGACTACCTGATAGCAGGCCAGGAGGACTCAAGGACCAGCAAACTCCTCGTGAATATGAACAGTCTGGTGAAACCCTGGAAGGCATATTTGGGAAAACAAGTAGCAGACATTCTTCGAACTGGGTGCAAATAATTTCTTCTTCAGAAGTTAAAGTCATAAACTTTATATTTTAATAACACTGTGGTGAAAGGTATAGCTAGTTCATATATTACCATGCAACACCTTCCTAGCTAAGGGAACAAAAGTGGACTTACCCTCCTTTCCCTCATTATGTGTTTAAACCAGGAATCCTTGGACATAACTTTTCTTCCATAATTACACACTGTCTTATATGAAATTAACCAACACATCACATGTAGGTTACAAATCACAGTTCTTAGCTTGAAGCCATTTTCACAGCTCCCAGAGATTCACTCTCAGGGGAGAAGCAGAAGCTATGGTTTATGTGTTTCCACTCTTCAGGAATGAATCTGGTATCGATACTTATAAACCGCTTGCATAGTGCAGTCATTACTCCGGTGTCATTTCTTTATTTAAGTGGCCATTAATGGGCAAAAAAATTTCAGCTTTGCAGGTGGCAAAATATTGAACAGTCAGCATGTCAGATGACACTTGATTTGTTTGAAAAGAGCTGAGTTATTTTTATTTACCAAGCAAACTGCAGTTAGCTCAGTATAAGACACGTTGCTTTCTTGAGTGAAAATATCACATTGCTGCACAGAGACTAACGCTGGAACTTTATCTGGTGAGGGCCTCTATAGATGGGAGTTGTCAAAGTCAATGCCTAATGTGAAAGCACTTCTGGTTCAGTGTGGAATCCTGGCGCCGCACTCATCTATTCTATCAAAGGTCTCCTTGTTCTTTGCTATTTGTACTGTCACACAACAGGTTTCAGAATGACTGCTGCTAAAAAGCCTTGAGCCAGTACAGTAGTGTCAAGCTGCAGCTCCAGACCCATAGGAGAAGGTGATGGAAGCTGGCCCAGATCTGAGTTTGTGAAGCTACAGTAGATAGAGGTGTGAACGGGCAGCAGGCTGTGCCAATCTGAGGATTAAGCAAGGTGTTGATGTCTTATAGGGCAGCTACCTTGTTATTTTGACCAATGCCCTTGAGGCCATGCTCATTATTTAATTTTCGCTACCGTTTTCAGTCTGCTGTTACTCTTGCCCCCTTTGTGTGTTGTACTGTAATAGTCAAGTGATGTTACCTTTCAGTTGTGCTTGAAGTTTGTTTAGCGTGAGAAGCAGGGGTGGTAGCATCTCCACTCTAAGTAAAGTCCCCAGTAGATTTATTTTAGTCTGCTCCACAGTTAGTAAGAAGCCAGTCCATGGAAATGTGAGTTCCTCAGAGTACCATGGGGAGGGGGAAGGGAACAATCTCCTCCTGGTCTCTGCCCAAGTGACAGGAAACTCATGACCAAACTGAGAGGGTAAAGGAGTATGTTCCTTTGATAAGTGAAGCATCAATCAGAACTTTGTTCAAAGATATTTTTTTTTTTTTGGTTTGTTCATATATGCAGCTTTTGCACATCTTTGTCTATGCTTACAGGAAGAGGAGATGGGGTTTGATCTGCATGCCACTCAGTCACTGTGACATGAAGGAATCTAGGGGGCAGCCCAATAGCCATGAAAAGAAAGTGGTGGTTCTGGGTTATGAAGCATCTGATGAGAAAGAGATAAGTTATCGGCACATTCAACTAATGCAGTTGGGTGACAAGAATCTGAAGACCAGGGATCCTGGAATGCCAGAGCTACTTTTTTATTTCCATTGTTTGTTACCCCTCCTTTTATGTAGGGCCTGATGCACATCAGAACAGCAAAAGGACACATTTCAGATCATTTGTAAAGAGAAGACCAGCAGAAATTTCTTGGAATATTCTTCCAGCTTAGGTGAAATTCTGGATGGCCATCACCTTGAAGTGACGCAGTGTGTGTTTACATAAACAACCTTTCCCTCCTCCCTTCACCCAGTCCCCTCAATCTATGGATGCATTATATATTGTCTCAGGCCAACATGACCTCATCCTATGTTTGGCTGTGAATTCAAAGGAGGTTCAGTCAGTTAGCTAGCTGGACTGATGAAATATTCCTAAACCCATTATTGCTCCTACAATGGCCCTGTTAAAAGCAACTTTCCATTTTGTGCCTGAAGTTTTGTAAATGCAAGTGCAATCAATATCACTTAGATGTCAAACTGTTTGGTTGCAAATAACATTGAGGATACCTTCAAATTTGCAGGCACAAAATGGGGAGCTGAATAGAAGCTCCTTTCAAAATCAGGTCCATACAGTATATTGCCTCACGCACAAGTGGATCTAACTGCCCTTGGATAATGTCACTTAACTATAGGCTTGTTCCAGTTTTAAAGCTATCCTGTGGAAAAGGAAGCTCCACATAGTTATTTCAGTAGTTAGTTGTTTTAGATTTCTGTGCTTTTAAGTAAATATACATAGTACCTTGGGGATTCCTTTATTTGTATTTAGTTCAATTTTCAAAGGAGCCCAGGCCACTCAGTTCCCATAGAAATGAAGTGGGACATCGGAGCCCAATTTCCTTAGGCACCTTTGCAGATCCCAGCCTAGAAGTATGTCCTGTTCACATTGAAACTAGCATAGAACTTGTCATCTCCACTTCATAGTTAACTAGAAGTATTCATGGGACACATTATGATATGGATGGAGGTTCCCATCTGAGCGTATACATTGACCCCACTTCCTCCCCAAAATTTGTTTTCTCCTAAGGAGCACAAATGCTATGTTTTCTTTTTCCTATCATGGCAGGAAGAAAAAAGTCACTATTATCCATTTGTTGCTACCTAAAGCAGTAACCAAGAATTTGGCATCTCTGATTAGGCATTTAATTAATGTAATAAAACACTATGCACCACTAAAGTGGCTTTATTTAAAATGTCAGCCCATTAAGTTAGAGTAGCAATCAAGTGATATTGTTTTCATTCCTGTGTCCAGAAACAGACTGACTACAAGGATTAGCTAGTCATCTTCTTTTAAAGACCATTAAAAATAATGATGTGTTTAGATGACTTTACAGTCCATTCTCAAAGGGCCTATTAGGAAGAGTTTCAATAAAGTAAAGCCTAGGGTGAGAGAATGTGTTTGAGGGCATTTAACAAATGCATTTATATTTACCACTGTGTGTGCTTCTTATCTGCTGAAGGTCATATTCTGTTCTCATTTACCCAAGTGCTATCCCATTGAGCTAAATGGCATTGCAGAGGGTGTAAATCACAGGACTAGAAGGTTCCCCCCCACAGCTATTTTAATTTCCAGGGGTGAAACTTACCCTTTTTGTGGGAACCTGAGAAGGGAACCCCTTGCAGCGACCGTTTCAGGTTATGGGCTGGGATAGTGACCAGTGCCTTTGTTTTTTTCAGCGTGCAGGCTGCTGAATCCACATAGTCCAGTCAAGCCCTTCCTCTGATCTACCACCAATACGCTCCTCCATGCCAGTTTATTTGGCATCAGTAGGAGCCCACTATGCAGCATCCACTCAGTCTGCCTGCCTACTCCATGTAGGGCTACTACAGGAAGTGGGGAATCACCAGCTCAGAGGGCCTTGTACTAGCCTTTCAAGGGGATATGAATTCCACGCTTACAGAGTTTCTATGTGCCTAATCTTATATGTAAGGGAGGAGGTTATGTGAACCCCATTACAAAGCTACACTCACCATTAGGGTGCCTCCTCCTGGCTGTTCAGGTGATTAGCTCCATCCACATCTGATGACCTATTGTTTGCTCTCATCATGGCCCCTCCCACCCTCTGGGACTCAGCATGCTCCCTCTCCATAACTTGGCCCTTGGACCAGGTCACTATACATGTTTCCCCTTCCAGAATACCAAAGTCTCTCCAGATCAATTGTCCAGTTGCCTTCCCAAGCCATCCTCTAATTCAAGACTATGCCACTTTCCTGAATGGGGGGGGGGGGGGGTATGGGACCCCAGCCTGCCCATTACTCCAGATTCCAGCATAGGGACTCTGTTCAGCAACCATGGTCCACTTACCCCCAGACCTCAATGCTATTTCCCTGCTCTTCTTCCTACTTTTCTCCCCTAGCTCTACCCCCTCACCCCAGGTTACCAGTAGAGCTCCCTCTGCTATTTCACCCTTTTCAGTTTCTTGCCAATTTATATTCCAAACACACTTTCCTCCTCCCAGGGAGTGACTGTAGACTACTTCTCCTACAACCCCTTCTGTTTTCAGCTTGCTGGTTTTGTATGAGACCAGCCTACACCTGCTCAGCTGAAATTCATCTTCTATTAGGGCTTGCCTGGCCAGCCTAATTCTCTGCCAGGCACAGTTTACTGGGTTAATTAGCCCCTTCCCAGCTATCTTAACCCTTCCAGGTGATGTGTGGAATGAATACTCCATCACAAGCTTATACATACAGCTTTGCAATGTACCTTAACACCAACTTTCAACTAGGTGATTCCCGACCATATTCATCCATTTGTGCCAGACTGTGGTGGCTTTGTGGTATATGCAAATGCCCACTGCAAACCAGAGTGGGACCAACACATTTACGTCACTAATGGTCAAGCTACTATGTTCTTGAATCTATTGCAGCCATTTCTTATAACCAGGGATCTGTCTCATCATGAAAAATATTCATTAATGTCATTCCCAAGTGTTCTATCAATATTAGATGGGAGATTTGAAACAAAGGTACTTTTATAATCTCTATCACTTGCCTTGGGATCCATTGTAATAAAAACAATCAGGCTAACAATTTTTTTTTTGCATTCAGATACATTCTCCATTGTGTAGCCAAACGTTTCCAAAAGTGAATCAGCTGACATACAATAATGTGAGAGGAGTGGGGAACAACTGAGGGCAAACGTGAAAAAATATGCATAGGTTTTTTCCCCCTTCCTCTCTTTCATCCTATTTGATGGTGGCTGGAGAGCTGAGTCTACTTCCTATTCTACAATCTCCATTACTTAGAAATACTACACATTCCATTTTGACTGTCAGGCTAACTGCTGTCTGATGGCTTCTGCTTTGCAGTCATTCAGGGTAAGCAGATACCCCACCAGCGTGTGACACTGGTGAGCCTACAGGTTGAAGGTACAGAAGCCAGTTATGGTCAGCCTAAGAGCAAGTTGACTTTGCTATTATTCCCAGCTGTTCATGAGATCTCTGGTTAACTAATCCAAGAAGAAAGTCAAAGAATGGGGAACAAAACTGAAAATTATGCAGAACTATAGTGTCCAGCCAAACAATAGTCCCAGCATGCTCTGCAGTGCTATAAAGCATGTAGCCTGCCTGAAAATAAACGTCCAAAGTACAAATGAACTCCACAGATTTGAGTGAGAACAGAGTTCACTATTTGCAATGGAATTAAGACTGTATAAAGGGCTGGTTATCTTGGGTATGGGGAAAAAAATAAACCTTCATATACTGTGATGGCTCAGAAGAAGATTATTGTGAGACAACGTGACACTATCAATACTTCCCAGAAGTAGTTGCTATGTATTTCCTGTGACCAGAACAAACAAGGTCCTACAGAACTAACAAGAGGATCTGCCAAAGAAGATGCACCTATTGAAATGGGAAAAGAAATCTGTTGGTCTTGTCCAGGGGTTGCTGAATACAGCTCTCCAGTACTTTCTACCAGATTGTCCGATCATCAGCTTTGCCAAAAAGCAGCAAAGACAGGGCAGCTGTGTTACATTCTGATGCACCCCAAACACCAGGAAATCAAATCAAGACACACAGGTAGGTGGTCAATCAAAAACATGTAATAACCCTAAACCAGTTAAGTCAGCAACAGTCCAAATGGCAGGTATGTAGCAGAAGGCTCAGCGTAACTGCACACGCCCAAAACTGTGTGTACATACACACATGTGCACACCCACCCACACACAGAAGAACAGGAAATGGAACACTGAATTCAGGGAGCGGGAACCAGGAAACAAACAGAAACAAGGAGCAGGAAGCAATAAGCAGGAAGTCAACACAGACCAGTCATCAGCATCAATACTGAAAATGGTCATACGAACAATCCAATCCAAACCATAGTAGACAGGTTGCCTTATCGCTAGCTGTTATCACATGTCAAGAAATAGCAAAGACAGCTGGTAGGCCCTGCCTAATGATGAAATAATAGCGTTTACCCCCAAGAAAAGTATGGAAAGCACTGGAGGAGTTAAACTGGGGCAGGGAAGGGAACAGGCTGAAAGCAGCCGCATATGTGGAGAAGAGGCAGCAGCACCATTAGGACAGTTTCAAGTCAGAGCAACTATCTGTGAGAGTTGTGCAGCTCACGTATCAAATAAAATGTGGCCACATCTATCCTAGTCTTGGTAGGGAACTTTAAAGGATCAAAATAGTTCACTAGGTAGTTCTTTGTGAGTGCTGAGCTCAATATGCAAGGTTGCTATGTTGTATTTAATCATGCTTCTGCATCTCCTGCTCTTGTACACTGGTACAGCAAGCAGATAGGAGGAAGGAGGCAGAAGGAAGGCAAACAGACCTACATACAATATTGTATTACTTTGGCAAGAGTGGCTCATTCTTCTAACGGCTATACAGAGCAAGGTTTCTCTGTCGTGTTCTCCATCTGTGTATCTCAGATTGTTTCAGTGCTGCCTGATGTAAGCTTTCCTTGAATTTATCTAATTCACATGGTGTTCTCTCCAGGGTTCCTCAAACCTGGAAAAGTGATTGTGTTATTTGTAACGTGTTGTGCACATTTTCTGTTTTGTACTTAAACTTTGATTAAAAATACTGATAGAAATGTATATGGATCTTGAGTTTGGGTTTTTATGTTTTAAACTATGTGATTTTCAAGCCAAATTACACTAGTTCTGTTGAAGTTAATAAACCTGAAACATTCCAGACATCAAACTCTTGGTTCAATAGTCTTGCACAGAGTAAAAGAAACAGGAGGAAAGAATTTAGTTAAGGAAATTGTACCAATTTTCCTAGCAAGCTAATTCTCACTATTAAAAACTAATATGTATATTTTGTGTGTATGATAAACACACAAAAGAAAGTGTCAAAAATAGATGCTGATGACTTGTATCAACAGCATATTAATTCAGAATTTCAGCCCAGGTCCTTCAAAACCTCATATGGGTATTTAACTTTAGTAATATGAGTAGCACTTAGGAGCATAACATTACACATGTATAAATGCTTGCAAGTTTGGGACCTTAAAGCTCATCACTACATTCCAAAGTCACTCCCTGGAGCCTAATTATTGCCCACACCAGGCATCAGGCACAACAAAATACAAGTTCAAGGTGGGTGGAGAAGCCTTGACTCTGGTCTGCCCAAAACTTATGTAGGCTTAAAACTACTACTTTTTTGGGGTTCATAATTACTTTTGCTTTTAATACACAAAAATAAATGCATCACAGAGACTTGGCAGTGTGACTTTGGCATTGATTTTGTGCTAGCTCTTCGGGACATATTATGAGTTCAGGATCCTTGCAGGTCTTCCTACTGAGATGTTTGCACCTCCATTCTCAGCAGGCCTTACTCTGCATGCAGATGATTAACACAACGAACAACACTGAGGCTTCAATCCATGTCTTATTGACATGATATAACATAATATGTCAATAAGAAGGTGACCTTTTGAACTGTGGGGCAATATTCACTGCTGGCATAAACTGCAGGGGATTTATTACAATAAAATCAATTCTGCCTAGACAGGTGTAACTCCCATTGAAGCTAATGGTAGCTGATTTACCAAGGCAGAATTTAGCAGTGGGAATTTGTGCCTATGTATCTGAAAGTAGTACTATATGTAGTGTAGTTGTAGCCAGGTTGGTCCCAGGATATTAGAGAGACAAGGGGGGTGAGGTAATATCTTTTATTGGACCAATTTCTGTTGGTCCGAGACACAAGCTTTCGAGCTCCAATAGTACTGTAAAGTATATACTCCCTTAAGTACAGTACAGTATATACCCCTTTAACTAAAGTAGTTCCATGTGTCACAGCTCTACAAGTACATGACTCTCAGTTTGTTAACTGAATTTAAATTACAGGAACAATGTGGTGCATAACAACACAAACAGCTTCAGTATCTATACAACAAGTGGCTCAGTACTCAGTCTCTGAACACTGCTGAATTTCAGAGAAGCTCAGATCTGGGTCTGTGCTTTCTGGCTCAAACCCATATCTAATTAATGCATTTGTAATGACTTTTTTAAAAGAGAGCAAAGATCATAGGCATTAAGGACTTTTCCATTTTTAACTGAGGAGATACAATGCCTGTTTATTATTGTAGCTGGCATGGCTACAAAAGTTATGTCATGGAGCTGCTTCAGGATGTAAACTGGTCACTTGGATGTTTGTTCTTGTTCCTCCTTCCACGTACACTAGTAAACAAGTGGGTAAGTGTATTACGAGTGGGGTTTTTTCCTGCAAAGTATCAGGTTTTTGTAACTTCCGGAGATAAGACACCAAACCCGCTGGACCAATAATCAGATTTGGTACAGCAAATCCTACTCCCACTTTCCCCCTTCACCTCACTGCTATGGGATCCGAGCTAATCATCAATGAGCAATCACTACAAATCTTCCAATGCTCTTTGTGTTGGCTGCCATGGAGCCTTCATGAGCTGTCTGCTCACTGATATATCGACGCTAATCTGTAACACGCTTTTCTTTTTTTGTGCATTTACTCTTGTTTTAGAGACTGCCTCTCCTTTTGGTCTCTTTATGTTCGGCCTCTGAGTGCGGTTTATGCTAAGGATACGGAATTCGAGCCGGGAGAGAGAGAAAAATAAAAATAAAGGCCAACGATCCTAGCAGAAAATAAAGTTAATAAGAGAAAGGAGAAGCTGACAGTTCACTATTAGGAAGCCTCTGTCACACATTACCCCTTGACACCAGTGGTGGAAAACTGCCAACTCCGAAGTCTATTTTCCTTGAATTGCAAAAGTGTTTTTTTTTTTAAAGCAACCACACTGCACTCACCCCAACAAGTAGGACAAAAGGCCCATTATTAATTATTTCAATTAAATCAGCAAATGACAGGAAATAAAGCAACATTCCAAGCATTTTAATGCGCTACGCAGGCTCCTCCAGTGGATCAAAACATATGAAAAAAATTGCTCTGGCTTAAACCGTTGGTGGCGGCGGGTACAAAGCCAATTGCAGCCTTTTACTGATTAACATGTTAATAGCAGCCTGAGCTTTTAAAAGTTCATGAGTAAAAATAACCATGCATTGCAGTTGCTTACTTTCTACTGTTCAAAACCAGGCACGTGTTAAATTGGTGAGCCTCTCTTCCCCAACCTCTTCCCCACTTTGCTGTTCTAAGAAAGAACGGCTACTGAGTAGGGGCTGGCATGGGTTGATGACCTAGTGCCTCCCTCCCGTCTGTGGAAACTGGACTTTTGGTGTTTGATCGGTACATCTGACCGGACACTGCCAGGTGCCCTTTTTGACCAGACTTTCTGGTTGAAAATCTAACACCTGGCAACCCTAACGGGGGCAGGCGACAAAAGCCCACAGATAAGTCCAGAACATGGAAACGTGGGTGAAGAGTCAGAATCTGGGGAGAACGTGGGTAATCATAGCAGGGACAAAGGAGACAAGAGGGAATATAGAGGGGAAATTTAATGAACATTTTAGATAGCTGTACACTAATGCAAGAAGTATGGGAAATAAATGGGAAGAATTAGAAATACTAGCGAATAATCACAATTACAATACAATTGGCATCACAGAGACATCTTAGGATAATTCACATGATTCGAATATTGGTATAAAAGGTTATAGCTTGCTCAGGAAGAACGGACAGGGAAAAAAGGGAAGAGGTATTATGTTGTATATCAAAGATATATGCACTTGCACTGAGGTTGAGATAGAAGTGGGAGGTAGACCTGTTGAAAGTCTCTGGGGTAATAAACAAGGATGATGTCATGGTAGGGGTTTAGTATAGGCCGCCTACATAGGAAGAAGAGGTGGATGAGCCTTTTTAAAAAAAACAAAAACCAACTAACAAAATCATCCAAAGCACAGGATTTGGCGGTGATGGAGGACTTCAACTCTCCAGATATCTATTGGGAAAATAATACAGCAAGGCACAGATTATTCAACAAGTTCTTGGAATGCATTGGAGATCACCTTTTAATGCAAAAGGTTGAGAAAGCAACTGTGGGAGGCTGTTCTAGATTGGATTCTGACAAATAGAGGTGAACTTGTTGAGAATTTGAACACGGAAGGCAGCTTGAGTAAAAGTGATCATGAAATGGTAGAGTTCAGGATTCTAAGGAATGGTAGGAGGGAAAACAACAGATTAAAGACAATGGACTTCAAGAAGGAAGACTTTAGCAAACTCAGAGAACTGGTAGGAAAGATCCTTTGGGAAGAAAGTTGAGGGGGAAAAAAAAACAACTTCGGAAGAGTTGGCAGTTTTTTTTAAAAGAGACATTATTAAGGGGACAAAAGCAACCTATCCTAATGCGTAGGAAAGATCAGAAGTATGGTAAGAGACCGCCCTAGTTTAACCAGGAGATCTTCAATGACTTGAAACTCAAAAAAAAGTCATACAAAAAGTGGAAACTAGGTCAAATTAGAATTATGAATATAAAAAAATAACACTAGCATCTAGGGACAAAATTAGAAAGGCCAAGACACAAAACAAGATTAAACAAGCTAGGGACATAAAGGGTAACAAGAACACATTTTACAAAGACATTAGAAGCAAGAGGAAGACCAAGAACAGGGTAGTCCCATTACTCAATGAGGAAGGAAAGACAATTACAGAAAATGCAACAATCAGCAAAGTATTAAATGCCTTTTTTGTTTCGGTTTTCACCAAAAAAGTTAGCAGTGATTGGACGATGAACATAGAGAACATCAAGGTAAGTAGGGTAGGATCTGAGGCTAAAACAGGGAAAGAACAAGTTAAGAATTAATTAGACAAGTTAGATGTCTTCACCTTGGAAGGGCCTGATTAAATACATGCTAGAATAATTAGGGCACTGGCTGAAGAGGTCTCTGAGCCATTTGCCATTATCTTAGAGAACTGATGGAGAATGGAGAGATCGCAGAAGACTGGAAAAGGGAAACTATAATACCTATCTATAAAAAGGAGAATAAGGACAAGCCAGGGAATTATAGACCAGTCATCTTAACTTCAGTGCCCAGAAAGATAATGGAGCAAATAATCAATCAATTTGTAAGCACTTAAAAATAATGTGATAAGCACAGTCAATGTCAAAACACAGGGTAGCAAGCCTTGTGGATAAGGAGAAAGCCATATATTTGATATATCTAGGCTTTTGATACTGTCTTCATTCCTTGCAAACACCACTCTTGTTCTAGCTAATCTGTTGTAAAGATGCAAAGCGTGTTAGATATTTTAAAAAGGAATACCTATTTACAGCGTTATAAAAAAGATATGATTAAATAAACCTCAAAAGTCCCATTGTAACCCCCAAGGAGCTTACTTGGTTCCTGGCTGTCTGTGCTTGTAACTCAGGGAGAGGCATGCTGTCCCTGGGAGGAAGGGGTGCCAAGGGCAGACTAGGCAGTCTGCTAGGCAACCAAGAGGGAGAAAGGAGAGAGACTATTTGGGGCGCCCACTGGGTAGGGGGAGGATAGCAGGGTGCCTGTATAGCCACGAGTATGCCTGTTAAGAGGAGGAGCAGCGACTGAGTAAAAGGAGGGAGGTAGAGTCAAATGACTGAGGAAAAAAAAGCCTGGTAAGAAGAGCTAGCTTGATCAATAGGAAGCGAGATACCCTACTGTGGGAGCACTGGAGAGGGGAGAAGCCATT